TGATATGATTAATAGTTGTTGTAAATAATCAATAAATAATATTAATGTATAATGTATAACTAAAAATTAATTTTCAATTTGTAGTAATTAATACCAGTCAATAAATAATAATTAATATTAATGAAAGTTATAATCGGAAAAAGTAACAATAAGCTATCAAAACGCTACTCTAAATAGCAGTCACTAAGTTAGCTTATAAACTAGTTTATATAAATCCAAACGTGTATTAAAAATAAGCTGATTTATTTTAACAAACAATACCTAAGTAAGTCTATAGCTTGGGCTATTTGGTGCAAGATAGAAGTATATTATAACGCTAGCATTTCATTCATACAAGTAAAAATAGAAAAATCGATTGAAATAGTCAATTCCATCAAATATTTTATTTTTTAACTACTTTTGTATTTAATTTCGTCATATACATAGGGTTTGGTTTTTTAGTCAAAAAGTTAGGGGTCGTTTATCTAAATGCTTACTGTTAGGAGTTAACACTGTAATTTATTTTACCGGGTAAGATTGTAGTACATCAAAATGGTATCGTATGCAACATTTTACCCGGTAAGCACTTACTTGGGTAAGAGTCGTCAACCTCACTTACCGAGTAAGACTATTTATCTTTATCATTGTTCATACTGAGTAAGATTTTTGACCTCATGTTCATCCGGTAAGGAAAGTTACCCGGTAAGCACTTTTCGGGTAAACGTTTAGTAAACAGCCTTTTAACCATAAGCCTCGTTTTGACTTTTAACCATCTATTTTTAAATGAAAAAAAAAGTTGCGCATAAATTCTTGCACATAAAAAATAGTTACTCATAAATGCGTAAGAACTTTTTTTTTCTTTCCTACGTTTATACGCGAGAAATGGCTAACTGATTAGAATGATTTGATGCAAGATGATTAAGTGACCAAAGTGATTAAGAGACTCTTATGATATAATACAAAATGAAATATTGTTGTTTGGTAATTGTTCATAATGAAATTAGGGCTCTGAATTGGTTAATGAGTTTTTTTTTTTTTGTCAAACAATATTTCACCTCTTAACTACTTAGAAGTTGTATCTTAATAGAACCATTAAACAGCTAAATGTCAAAAGAAAATACAAAAACGACTAAAAACTGAATCCAAATATTAGCTATTTCAGTCGATTTACATTAAAAAAGATTATACATACATACATATATATATACATACATACATACATATATATATATATATATATACATACATACATACATATATATATATACATACATACATATATATATACATACATATATATATATATATATATGTTACTAGGCCTCGTCACACCCATGACTACCATTCCTGACGATATTGTACTTGCAGAGAGGACAGGTAGCATTGATATATAGCCATTTGTCTATACAGCTGCAATGAAAATGGTGACAACATGGAAGCTCTCGTAGCTCAACTCCATCATCGTATGCTGACAAACATATGCAACATTCCTACATATCATTAACCATTATAACCATTAAAATTTCTAATGTTTTCTCATCATTCAAGTAGGTAAAGTGGTTGCCATTTATATAATAAGGTATTAAGGTCGCGTTTGATATGTGGACCAGATAACAGTGAAAAAAATTGAATTGGATTGGACAAGACAGGACATGACAGAAAGAGAGATCTTACAGCATCCTTGGGCGAGAGAACACGTTCAATGGGTGTTTCCGTGCCATATTCGGTCATTACTCCTCCACAAACCCCTTGAATCTCATCGTTGGTTCTTCCCGCACCACCTTCGCGGTGGAATGTGAATTTTGGCAACAACTCAATATCCTCTTTGCTTGCTCCTTCCTGCTTTGCGAAAAAAGAGTTCAAACCTTGTTGTTCTATGTTAATGCTGACAACTGCACACGTGTACTATAGATGGTATGTTTGGTATGCAAATATAACTAGAGATATTTGGTTTATGAAAAACAAATATTTAGAACACATTGATCATGGTGTACCTGATCTGCAACAACGTATAATACAGCAATTATACATGGAAGACAACAACAAATGGCAATACCAATGACGCATGCCAGTGCGACGCAGAAAACAATAAAAAAGACGTCAAATGCCAAGAAAGTTACACAAAGCCTGCATTCCGAAAAATCATGGAACTTTTAGTTAAGTACTGAGAGTTGGGTTCACGTAAGACCAGACTGTTTTTTGTGACACCACAAAATAACACTAAAACTTTCAGACAAACATTGTGAAAACCTTCCTAACAAAAACACTCATAATGTCTTGTTGTGAAAGCTTAGTGTTATTTACGTGATCTGGCGGGTTAAACGAAAACAACTTGTTCTCATATGATCCCAAATCTAAGTAGCAATCTATAAAAAAAACATATGTTCGTGACAAATAAAACATGCTAATCGCACCAATAGAGCTTAGGCGAGTCATGTGCCAATGCTTGTCCATTTGATGAAACCCAATAGAACCCAAGGATCCACCAAACGAATGAAAACATTGTATTTGTAGATTCCAAATACTTTGTCACTGCACTGCAAAACAAAAATTCAATCAAGATAGCAACAAGGTCATGTGATAATCAGATACATTCCAAATTTTTTTACAAACAGTACAAACCTCATTCAATCAATCATAAATTTTTATTTTATTCATTTTTTTTTGTAATTATGAGATGATGATTAATCATTTTTATTATGTAGAGTGTTAGTCATGGATATTATCATCTTCATTATGAAATCGACGGATGAGGGTGGCTTGCACGGTTTGTACAAAATTGGGTGGTTTGCATTTGATCGCTCCTCTATATATACACACACAAAAATTACAGAGAGGCGATGATGAGACATTGTTTATGAAAAACTGTAAAATAGGACCCATAATTTTGAAGGCATGTTCAAAATCAAACGTTTAACATGCTAAAAAAACGGCCCTAGGTTTTTTTTTTGTACGACAATATAAGAATCACTACAAAATAATTAACTTTTTCCCCATGAAATGAAAATTTGCCCTACCCATAAAATACTAACGGTTCTGGTAGAATCCGATATTTTGCAATAAAATACCAACAGATCACCTAAAAAATACTTGGGTAATTTGTATATGATTTGAATTTACCACCAACAATTTACCTATCAACTTTTATAACCGTTATGTGACAAATCACCTATTTAGTGACATATTTTCTAGAGAAAAATCCATAGGTAACATACCGGCTGATACTTGTACTTGACCCTTCTCCGCTCTCACTAGCTTCACCCGCTTCCCCGCCCCCGTTCCACCTATGACCATGCGTGTTCTTATACTCGCTCCAAACACACACCATATGAACAACACACTGCACCGCATACCCTACAATCCACAACCTCAACCACGTTGTCGGTGTCTCGTCCCGGCTCAAAACCAAAACGACAACAACCGCAACAACAAAACCCAAATTCCATATGAGATCAAGTATCACCACGGGTTTTGAATGCGCCCAGTCGCTTTGCCGCTCCTCAAGCTGCTCGGCGGCCGTTTCCCTCACAAGCATCGACGGCTCCCTCATCATCCGCCGACTACTCGCTCTCCGTAGAAACCGCGCCACATCACGTACGCTCTGTCGCCTGAGTGACCGTCGAGCTCGATCATATTCCTCCGAGTAAAGCAACGGGTTGTTGCCGGATGAACTCTGAGACAACATTTTCAACCAATAAAACCTTATTTTGTTAATGAGATTAATTCATAATTTATGAAAAATCTTGGGGAAGTTGTCAGCAGATTTGAGCGATTTTTGCAACTGATTTGGGGATTTTGGGGTGGGATTAGATTCGAAATTGATGGGATTTTGAATGTTTTGACTAATTGTTGGTGAAGAGTTTGATATTTGAGGGTGAAAAGAAAACCCATTATGCAACAAACACATGAACAACATGTGCCACGTGAATATGGTTGGGGAAATACTTTTCGGAGTCACCGATCTAAAAATAATTAAACTTTTTTTCTTTTTTTTTATTTGAAAAAAGTATATTTATAATTTGATGTGTATTTATGAAACTGAAATAGACATTATTTGAATACTTGTATAATGTGTGTTACGGTTAAAACATGATATAAACAAGCAAAATTTATGGGAAAATGTTTATATTTTATAAATTTTTGATAAGTTACTTCATTCTAACAGTGGTGGATGCAGGATTTTGGTGTAGGAGAAACAACAATTATAAATAAAAAAAATTATTAGAATTATACTTATCTGACATAGATGATGAATCATCGATAGTTTTTCTCTTTATTAAATACTTATCCATGATTATTGAATGTTTAACTAGTTGGTACATAAAAAAAACTAAAATTAATAGCAGTTAGTAATTAACAGTTAATAACAACTACTGACATTTTATAATTAACAATGACATATTCATTTTCAACAAGCCCAAACTTAAAAAAAATGTTGACATATAATAGAAACAAGTCTATTTTTAACAAAATCCAATTACAATCAACAATTTTCTATTTAAATGGGAAGTCATTTAAAATGTGCCACACCTAAAATCCATTCAATAAACCAAAAGGGTGGTGTCTGATTGGTTTGAGCTTCGCTCCAAAGGTCAAAAATAACAGGAGGTCTTAGGTTCAAATTCAATGAGAAATAAAAATTCTCTTGTGGCCACGAAGATTCAAATACGGTGACTCTGGGTTATCTGCAAAGCAGGTGACCGTCCTGGGATTAGTCGGCTTGTATAACAGGTTTGATATCCATGCTAATAAAAAAAAAACCCATTGAATAAAAAACTTTCCAGCATAAAAAATGTTATATATTATTATAGCAAAAGAAATTGGAAGTTTGAGGGTTAGCAATCGATAATTATCGTGATGTCAGTAGCTTCATTCTTGTCATATAATTTATTAACTTATTCTGATGTGTTATCAGTATTAATAAGTTTTTAATGATTATATGAAAAATATATGTTTATCAGCTTATTATGCTTTGATACTGTCATAAGACAATTTCACTTAAAAAAAAAACCATAAGCTGTTATAAATAACAATCACACCCCCCCCCCCCCAAAAAAATAATTTAGGGAAAATTCAATTGACCAGCAACTGTAACAACCCGTCCCACATCGGTTGGTGAGGAGAACTAAGCACTCCTTATAAGGGTGTGGATACCTCAGCCTAGTRTGACSSGTTTTGGGGYTTGYGTTGTGCGGCTGTCAGAAACAAAACCGTGCGACTACTGCTTTGTGGTTGAGCGGGCAGGTTAGTCAAAGCGGACAATATAATGCTACGGGGTTCTGGGGGCGTTACAAATGGTATCAAAGCCAGACCCGGATCGATGTGGCCCAACGAGGACGTTGTGTCCTAACGGGGGGATGGTGTAACAACCCGTCCCACATCGGTTGGTGAGGAGAACTAAGCACTCCTTATAAGGGTGTGGATACCTCAGCCTAGTRTGACSSGTTTTGGGGYTTGYGTTGTGCGGCTGTCAGAAACAAAACCGTGCGACTACTGCTTTGTGGTTGAGCGGGCAGGTTAGTCAAAGCGGACAATATCATGATACGGGGTTCTGGGGGCGTTGCAGCAACCATCACTAAACACACGTCCAATGATGGTCGACTTTCAACTATAGGCCATATTCAATGATAAACTGAAAGTTCACTTTCAGCCATAGATGAATACCTTCAGCGACAACTTAACAGAACGATTTCATATGACGTTTGAGGGAGGATCAAATTCATGCAAAAAAAAAACAATACAATAATCAAAACCATAATTAATGTAACGTATAAAACAAAAACAGAAAACCTGTAACCCATAGGTCCTAAAATATAATTTACTGTAATATTTCATTTGATGCTACTGTTGCCATTGGGATTAGAGGTGTACAGAAACCGAGCTTTTGACAAGGTACTTGAGCTCGAGCTTGATAAATCTTGAGCTCGAGTCGATCTCAAACACAAAATAAAATTCGTTTAATTTAACAAGTCGAGCTTCATACCATTAATGTTCGACTCGACTCGTTTGAAAAGTCGATTAAATATTTTTGGATCGAACCGAGCCATTCAAACGTATACTTTTTTCGAATAAAACATACTGATATAAAAAAATTAAAATTATCAACCTGAAGCTCATAAACGAATTAATCGATCACGAGTTTGAGCCCATAAACGAACATCAAACTCAAACTCGATAATTCACATAATATTCGAGCTCGAGCTCTATATTAGAAAAGTTATCGAGCTCGAGGAAAGTATTGCTTTCTCGAACCAAGTATTATTTTCTCAAACCAAGCTCGAATAACCTACCACGACTCAGTTCAACTCGTTTTCACCCCTAATCGTAATTTCAAGTTAGGACTAAAAAAAGAAATAAGAAAGAATCATGGGGTGAAGCCGAACAAAACCGGAATTCGAGAGCCAAAAACGAAAAATCTTCAATTAAAAAGGGGGAAAATTGGGGTCCATTTTGTCCCGTCAATTTCCATTTTCCCTCCAATTTGAAATAGCCCTAGGGTTTCTTACAGTCTCGAAGTCGGATTTCCAACGACGACAACTTTCTATGGCTTCTTCATCATCTTCTCTATCTAGCCATGGATACGAGATTCCGTGGGTTGAGAAGTTCCGACCGACAAAGGTGGCAGACATTGTCGGAAACGAAGATGCCGTCTCCAGGCTCCAAGTAATCGCACACGATGGTAACATGCCGAATCTCATCTTAGCTGTAAGTAATCAACCCTAATTTCATGACCAAAACGATGATCAATGTGAACTCATGTAAAGCGGCAAAGGAACACAATATGAGATTGGTATTATTATTTTGGTTTATTAACTAAAAATTAACGCCATAGCAAGTTAAGCAGAGAAACGAGGTGGAGTGAGGAATATAATCTGGTTTTTACATTTAATATGAATCCAAATTTTGCAATAGCAAACTTGCTGTTGCTGCCGCAAAAAGGTCTTCCCCATTTAGCTTAGATGCGTGACACTGCTTGTTTTTATCGTACCGTGAAACGAGGTTGTGCTTGTAACTGTTGAAGAACATGGTGGATGAATCAAAGGAAATTTTGATAATCTAAAGCCACTAAGGGCCTGAACATTAATGGGACTCACAACTTATTATGCCAGCAATACATGATTGTTTGGTAGTGGCTTAATGATATAGAAAGCGACTTATTAATTTTTTAGGGTGGAGTTTTATGTAAAAAACCAAGTTTTTCCATACCTGCTCTCTCCTTCCATCTATGAAAAATCCTCCCAAACAAAAACCTTCCCAATATATACACATAGATTAATCCACACAGGCAGTTTTATTAATACATGACTTAATGGAAAACCAGCCAAACAACCCCTAAATCACGAGGAGATGAGGATTATGCCTGTTGATTGAAATTCTGATGCACGTAGGAGAAAATTTTCAGGAGCATTTGACTTGACTCTGATTTCTTTTTGGGTGAGCCTAAACAAACTCGTCTCTACAAGGATGTTTTTTCTCTGGTGTCATTTAAGTTGATCTACACTTATTTTGTGGTTTCTACGGCGCTACCAATATCGAATTCTCTCACCCTAACTTATAAGAAACATAATTTAGTATGGCCTCCTCAACAAGCTTTACTGAACATGGTAATAGTATTCACTTTTCGGGTATTTACTGGAAGCTCTAGCATCACTAACTTATTGTGTTTTATCGCATTCAACCTTCCAAATTATCTTTAGCTTCTTTAAGGTCCATTTGACAGTAAGCAGATGTTTGGATGTGACAATCACTCAATCAGAATGGAGAAACCAGCTATATTCAGAGTTATAATCATTATGTGGTTGTCTTCTCTTATGTGTTCATTTAAAAAGCTGTCTATCAGATCCTAGTAATGCATCGTTCAGAAATTTGTATGCATCTGAGGTGCCTTCCAGGCTATTATTGTTTCTTCTTTTAAATAATCAACTGCAATATATCAAGAAGCATGCTGCGCTATGAAGTATACTGTGATCGACTTCTCTGTCATGTGTTTCCTAACCAAAAATTAGAGATTGAAAGTAGAGTGATTTGGTACATAGTGTCAACCAGACACTTGCAAAGTTGTTTGTCTGTATTGTGTAATATACTTGAGGCATATATGAGACAGGGTCCGTTTACTAAATGCTTACCGGGTCACTTTACCTTATTGGATGAACATGACAAGGATTGAAAATCTTATCCAGTAAGCGCGGTGACAAAGAACGAAAGTCTTACTTGGTAAGTGAGAGTGACGGCTCTAACCCAATAAGCACTCACCGGATAAATATGTTGCATATGATGCCGTTTTTAATAAACTAAAATCTTACTCGGTAAGTTAAATAAAAGTATTTGACTCTTACCGACAAACGGCCCATTAGTGTCGTTACTATTCTGTCTTGGTTATAATTTTGTCTTTGCTATTTCAGGGTCCTCCTGGAACTGGTAAGACCACAAGCATATTAGCTCTTGCACATGAGCTACTAGGACAAAATTACAAGGAGGCTGTTTTGGAGCTGAATGCATCAGATGATAGGTCTGCAGACTGCTAATTGTGTTTCTATCTCTATCTTTTAAGTCGTTTTGTTTTGGAATCTCACCATGTTTTGCACTTTCCCCTCCCAGAGGCATTGATGTCGTGAGAAACAAAATTAAGATGTTTGCACAGAAAAAAGTCACATTACCCCCCGGCAGGCACAAAGTAATTATTTTGGATGAAGCCGACAGGTGACCGGCAACTACTAGTTTCACTCTTTATATATCATTTTATCACATAAACAAGCTAATCATCATCAAACCATATTCAACTGTGATATTTTTACCTTTTTTTCTTAATCCCCTTTTCTCTGGTGTTTGATCTGTCATCTCCTTTTACTGAACTTCCAGTTTGGGACTAATTGGATTATACTTGCTGTATTGGACGTAATTCAGCATGACATCTGGAGCACAACAAGCATTGAGGAGGACAATGGAAATATATTCAAACTCTACCCGTTTTGCTCTTGCATGCAACACATCTGCAAAAATAATTGAACCCATCCAGAGTAGATGTGCCCTTGTTCGGTTTTCCAGGTTGTCTGACCAGGAGATCCTTGGTCGTCTCATGATTGTTGTCGATGCAGAGAAGGTAATTTTTGTGTTACTTTTATTAAAATAGTATCTAACATTTGAAATGATACTGCTACTGATAGTGTCACCCTTTCTGATCGGTGAACTTATTGGTCATTATATGTTGCCTGACAATCTTGAGCCATAATCTCTAGGACATCATTGACTCAGGCGGCTTCCATTGCTTCCCAAAAGGGGTTCATTTCCATTTCTGATTTTACGACTATCATAATCAAACTGTCACTTGAGTTATGCCTGTCTCTTATAAGTTTCTTAACTTCCTATACCGTTGCTTAATTACTCTAGTCTTATACCATATAATTTATCTTCCAATCTCACCTGTTGTATTCATTTGCCCATTGATTGCATAATACTCCCTATGCACTTCTCTATTCACCCAACCTGATCGTTGAGATATGACCGATTACAAACATCTTCTCCACTCACTCCCAGACTGATGATTAATGAACAACCTAAATAACATCATCACTTGCTTCGTGGCTTGGTACAACTGTAATTCCCTCTTCCATGTTCTCCTTGTTTATTGCTCCATCTTGCTGAATTTTGAAGGTTTTCATCATGTTTTTGCCAAGTATTTTTTCAATTAGACTGATGCTCAGAACCAGCAGGCTGCTTCTTGGCATCAATTATCTTTCAAAGTTAAGCTTTTACCTTTCCGCTATGTATATTTCATCACCATCTTGATTAGAAGAGAGAGATAATCAATTACCCACTTCATGTCTATGAATTATTTTTGGAATTCTTTCTGGATAAAAGGAGCTTTAATGGGCACCAATCGTCTAACGAGAAACGACTCTCAAGAACAAACTTGCATCCGCCGTTCATGTGTATAAAGACTTCTCATAGATACATAATTGGTTCATGTTTTATAACTGATGTAGGTGCCATATGTCCCAGAAGGGCTCGAAGCTATAATTTTCACTGCTGATGGCGATATGCGACAGGCGTTGAATAATTTACAAGCTACTTATACTGGATTTCGGTTCGTCAATCAAGAAAATGTTTTCAAGGTGACAAAGTTACCCATGTTATTTGAATTTGCCACAATCATGTATTCCATCCAAAGTCTATTAGACCATGTTATTTGGTTGGGTTTTCAGGTGTGCGACCAGCCTCATCCCTTGCATGTGAAGAATATGGTTCGCAATGTCCTCGAGGGAAAATTCGATGATGCTTGTTCTGGTCTAAAGCAACTTTATGATCTGGGCTATTCCCCAACTGATATCATCACAACTCTTTTCCGAATCATAAAGAACTATGACATGGCAGAGTATCTGAAATTGGAGTTCATGAAGGTAACATCTACAATTTTGCAATGTTTTAAAAACCGTTGACGTTGAATAACAGTCAGACGGGGTACCAGGTCAACCATGATCGGACTACTATTGACTTGTGATTCAAACTTTTAATAAGTACTAATACAACACTACAATTTGGATAGTTTCTACAAAGTGAGAGAAAAAGTCTCCAATCTTTTCACAGGTTTCGAACATGGTTTTTAAGACCGGGTTTTCAGGATAGATACATGCCAGTGTTCTTGTGGCATACAGTGCTTTCAGGCCTTTTTTGAGTCTGTTGGTTTGGTGTTTAGTTTTTTGTTCTGTGGACCACAATAACAATGACGGGGATAACTATTGAAATGGGGGTGAAGGTAGTGGTTGTGGGTTGAAAGATGTTACGACAAAGGGAATGAGCAAGTTCGTGGTAGTAAGGTTGGTCATAAATTACCAGCCCCTTAATCATTTCTTGGCTGATGATAAATTTCCTCCTCAAAAGAAGTCATTGTTCCATTCTCTAGCCGATGCAAAAGTTTTGTCTCGTATCTCCAAATCTTTCACTCACAAGTAAAACTTTGTTGCGGTTTATCTGCAGGAAACTGGATTTGCCCATATGAGGATCTGTGATGGAGTTGGTTCGTATCTTCAACTATGTGGTTTGCTTTCTAAACTCTCTCTAGCTTGTCTGACTGCTAAAGCAGCATAAACTTTAGCCTTTTGTAGAAAAATATCTATGCTTTTGAAACTTGTTAGAAAATTTGACACGGGCTTTTTCTTCTGTAAGATAATTTAATTTATATTTTGTTTTATTTTGGTAATCATGGTTGGCCCAATTAGCTAATGGGTAAAGTTCTGATTATAGATGGCCAAATGGACCTTGCCCGGCCTGGACCGGGACTAGCCGGCCTGAGACCGATTTGTGTCATCTCTACTTGTGATATATTTACATGGAGCATACGTTAGGTCTATCCTTCTATGTAGATCTTACCTTTTTTAGACCCTGCCTTTAGTATCCAGATACAGGGGCAGATCCACATAGGTAGATGCCATGGTTTCGTCGTAAGGGGAAAAATTACATTTCCGAGGGGTGCCACCATACCATTTGAAGTTTTTCCTGGATCTGCATCTCTCCAGATGAGTTATATTGGGTTTGTTTAGTTAATCACTGTTTACTCATCTAAAACCTTCCAAACAATGAGAGGGTATTTTTCTAAAGAAAAATAAACTTGAGTATAGTTTTAAAATTGTAGGAGACGACGGTATAAAAATGTATTCCGGATAAATTGTTTAAGAGGTGTTGGTTTTACATTGGATGTTATCCATGTTTTTTTTTTTGAATAAAATATGATTGAAATAAATTAATGGGCTCCAAAGGTCAAACATCGTTTATATAACAAGAAATAGAAGATGATAAATTAGAGAACGTAAAAAGACAAGATGAAAAACGAGACACTTGGGCAAGAGCATGAGTTATCTCATTCGTTTGATGAGTTGATAAACCAAATGAAAGTTGGGGGCTGTTTTTTTTATACAGTTATTAATTAAGCATTTATTGATAAGATTTAATACTATTACTTATCTTATTGGGCAAAATTTTAGTCTATCAAAATGATATCGTATGCAACACATACCCGGTAAGCGTTAATAGGATAAAAATTGTTACACTTAATGTATAAGGGTTTTTTTTCATCACTCTTAACGGGTAGGTTTATTGATTATTGTCATGTTCATCTGATAAGATAATGTGACTTAACAAACATGCATTTCGTAATCTGACCCTTGCTTGATGCAAACACCTTTCTTAAACTTGCAAGCTTTTATCTTACCAAATACATGACGTAATCAATGTGTACAAATTTAAATAAACAAATAATAAATTTTATTCGATATCAAATCCAAGTCGGCACATGCGAAGCCGCATAAGCACCCCATTCGTCGTTAAAAAGGAGAAAAATGATATATCATATGTTTCAATTTAAGTCTTCGAGTAATAATAAAAATATCTAAAAATATATTCATCATAATAAATTTAAGATGTTAGGATAAATCAAAAAATTCTAACTGATTGAAAAATTAAAATTTAGCCTTCAGAAATTATATAGAAAACAAACCTTTCGCTTTTTGTGATACACATATAGGTCTGGGTTCTTAGGTTAGCACCAAGTGGAAGATGAACGTGTGCTCGTGTGTGAATCAGGCGATCGGCTATAGAGGAAACTGTTGTTTGTTTTGTAGTGTCATGTCATATACTTGCTAAATCTATAAAGATATAATTCTAAACACCTTATTATGTGTGATTTAATTAAAATGTATCATTGAATACGATTGAGTTTTAATTAAAAAAAAATTATGATTCATTTGTAACCAAAATAATTTAATTTTACATTGAGAATAGATGTAATAAATTTGAATTAAGATGCACATTTTAACTAAAAATCCATGAATATTTTGATATTTGGTTGATATTTTATGTGGTTGACATTATAATAAGACCCATTTGAAAGTCAAAGGGTTTGTCGCTCAACTTGAATTTATTGTGCTATTAAAATAATATGTTAACATATAATTCAAAGAGAAATAATCATTGTGTCGTTAAATTTAAAGATGTAGTATCTCATTTATGTAATAATATATTAAAATTTATATATTAAAAACAAAAAAAAAGTGTCGATTTTGACGTGTATGACAAGTATTCAATGGTTGTTTATCAAACGCTTACTTAGATAAACACTTATCATGTTAAATTATCTTACCGAATGCATTTGATAAGGATCAAAGGTCTTACCCGATAAGAGTGGAGACCATGATTGAGAGTTTTACTTGGTAAGTGAAGGCGATATCTTTTATTATAATTAATGCTTACCAAATAAATTATTACATTCATTACTGTTTTGATGAACTAAAATTTTACTGGATAAATAAATAATAATATTAAATTTTATCGGTAAACATTTATTGGATAAAGATGTAATACCAAATATGTGGCAGATGCCTTAACCTGTTTCTAATCCCCAAATACGGCAAAACATATCATATTCTATCCAAATTACATCACCTTTCACTTTACTCTATAAAACGAAAATGGTGTTAGCAAATGGACAATTAGGTATTGATTTACGCGGATTACCAGCGGATCACCTAACGTGAAATCGACAGATAAGCAACCGACTCCATCCACCATTTCCATTTGCCTTCGTTTCCGCGTATTCATACTCTTCTATATTTACTTCCAACTTCTTACTTCATAACAAGATCATTTCAAGGAAAGAAATTGGGTTCTACACAAGAAAAAACCATGGGTAATGGAGATCTAGAGAGCAGGGGAAGCATAAAGAGCAGAGGTGCACAACCACCGGGGCCGCCGCCGGCGTATTACACGTCGTCTTCTCCGTTCCACACTGAATCGTCGGAGAAACAATGGACCTCGTGGCTGGTTCCGATGATTGTTGTTGCAAATGTGGCCATGTTTATTGTCGTCATGATTGTTAACGATTGTCCTAAGAACCATAATTCGAGTCTCGAGGGGGATTGTGTTGCTAAATTTCTTGGTAGATTCTCGTTTCAGCCTCTTAAAGAGAATCCCCTTTTTGGTCCTTCTTCTTCTACGTAAGTTTCTCTACTCATTTATTAGGGTTTCTCTTATGTTAATTGGAAATTAAAGCTATAATGTGTTTGCCAATGTAGTTAATTTTGTGAAGGTTGATTATTGATTGATTTAGGGTTTTCCTGTAATAGATGCTCCACACCCATCTAGTTAATCTTCGATTTGGGGATTTTCTACTTTGTGGTGGTTTTGTCTTATGAACCCATTTAGGGTTTGTTTTAATTGATGATTTGGAGCTGTTCAGTTGTTCAGTTGATATGGGAATTTTTTTCTTACATACCCAATAGTCAATTTATGTAAGAAGGTGATTCTTTATCATGATTTAGGGTTTTTCCTGTCAAACGATGATTTTAATATTTTATTTTATTTCAGTCGAAATAGTAGAATCTCATGTGATTTTGAAAAAAACAATGATGTTTTTATTTTTAAATAAAATATAAATTTGAGGATATTATAAAATTTTGATAAAAATATATTGATATTAATATCGAATTAAATATTTAAATTTTTTATTTTTTGTATACTTTTTAATTCAATTTTTTTTGTTATAATTTAATTTAGGTTTAATAACGAAATAATTTAAATTTGGTTTAATAATATACTTTTCTTATAAAGATAATAATTAATTATTTTGTTGAAACTCGATAATTATTCTAATTATATTTTATATTTTTTACATTTTAAAATAAGATGTTTATTCTCTATTTGATTATGTTTATCCGTAGTTAGTTACACGAATTTAAACATGGATCTTTAATAAGTTGTACTTACGTATAATTTACTTGTAATTTTGAATTTTAAGTAATATGCATCAATATACAATACTTCATGCATAAAAATGGTTTTTAAGAGTTTTTGTCAAATGTTTTATAATATAGTATAGATTAGGGCCTTTTGTGCACATTAAAAGGAGCTCACATATATAATTTTCTGTTGATATGGAGCGGTTTTTTTAAATTGTAACAACTCGTCCCACATAGATAGAAAACGGGATTATGAGCTTCATATAAGCCTCAAGCTGTGGGCTACAAATAACTTCCATCATGGTTTTAAGTTGGATTCGAAGTTATTGGGCCAGACTGTTGCTTCGGGTTCAGGGTTTTACATAAAAGGAGTAGTTTTATGAATATATGAAATTATTAGTGTAGACTTCAAAATAAGCAATCTTAAGCAGATCTTCAAAAGTAGATAACAAGTTAGAAAAATAATTATGTGCTACTTGATGACAAATTAGTAGTTGACACGATGAATCTAAATTATGGAATGCTGGGTTTTACGAACCCTTTTTTGGATTGTAGATTGGAGAAGTTGGGAGCTCTAGAGCGGAATAAGGTGGTCGATGATCATCAAGCATGGAGACTAGTTTCGTGTATTTGGTTGCACGCCGGAGTTGTTCATTTACTTGCAAACATGTTGAGCTTGGTTTTCATTGGGATTCGCCTCGAGCAACAATTCGGTTTTGGTACGTTTTTTTTTACATAGTTGTTTTGGTGTAAACAACGAAACTTGAACATATTGATAGGTATAGCACGTAACCATGTCGTTAAATGAGTTTTTGATGGCTGATAATTTTTTAAACATACAACAGTTCGAGTTGGGTTGCTGTACATGGTGGCCGGGATCGGTGGGAGCATATTATCAGCACTTTTTATAACAAGTAATATTTCCGTTGGCGCTTCTGGTGCACTTTTCGGACTTCTTGGAGCAATGTTATCGGAACTTCTTACCAATTGGACTATTTATGCTAACAAGGTGAGTGTTCTCCCAACCTCATTATATTTAAGATTTGGTATAACCATGTTCATGGAAACAACTGTTATGCTCTTTGGGGTAAAAGATAGGTTTGCATACATCTCACTTTCAAAGCCTATATCCTAGTTTTGAGTTGATATACTGTGTTCCTTTAGGGTGCGTTTGGTACACTAGACAGAACAAAACAAGAATCACCATTCCATGTTTGGCAAGACTTTTATGTGGAAAAGATGGGAACAGAGTGGAACAGCTGTGTACCACCCCCATCCCACAAGGTGGAACAAATCTATATTTTATCATTATAACCTCAAAATAAAATCTAATTCTCTTCTAAAACATTAAATATGCCTCGCTCTTTAAATTTTATTTATTGTATTTTATGCTTTTTAAACTTTCATTTTACGGTTCTTCAAATATTATTTTCTTCGGTTTCTATATTTTGATTAATTTATTAAATATTAATAAACAATAATATAGAGAAGGTATAATGAAAATTGGGAAGTAAACAAACTTTATCTTCTTGTCTTTTTAATCTTGTTGATGAAAACATTACAATGATATATTTTGTTATAAGAAATATTTATTTTATTATAATTTAGTAAATTACATAAATTAATTAAAATGTATAAACAACTCGTTAGGGGTAAATTGGTCATTTTATATGTTATGTTCTGTCCATTTTTGTATTACCAAACGCTAAACAGTTGTCTTGTTGGATAACAAACGCACCTATAATAAGTAGTTCACAAATCTATTTTTTATTAACGTGAGAGGAGTTGTTACAATCAGCCGTTTTGGGTAGATAACAAGTCTGTATACATCTCACCCTTTGGCTCTGACCGTGCTGGTTAGCTTGGTTAACGATTCCTAATGAGTAAACCATCGATCTTGTAGGCCGCAGCGTTGTTTACACTCGTGATCATCATCTTGGTGAACTTGGCTGTCGGAATGCTTCCACACGTTGACAATTTTGCACATATCGGAGGCTTTTTATCGGGTTTCCTTCTTGGGTTTGTACTGCTTATCCGTCCCCAATTCTCTTGGCAAGAACGCCGCAATCTTCCTGTTGATGCTCGTGGCAAATCCAAGTTCACCGTCTATCAATACGTTTTTTGGCTCGTATCCATGATTTTATTGATTGTCGGGTACGCTTTCTTTAACAACAATTGCAATTTATACCACCGATTCGACAGTTAACCGATTATAATTGATAAAAAAATCGACTAAATCATTTTGCAGATTTACCGTGGGACTGGTAATGCTTTTTAGGGGAGAAAATGGCAACGATCATTGCAGCTGGTGCCATTACTTAAGCTGTGTTCCGACTTCGAGATGGCGATGCGATAACCGGTGAAGAGCAATCGACGATATTGATTGTTAATATGTTTAAAACTTTGATTTGTACTTTTTATTTTATTTTTGGTTGTGTAAATTGGTATTTTTGAGATGTAGTTAGGATATGATATTTGGTTGTACATTTATAAACTCTGAAAATACGGAATTGTAATCACCGGTATATATATTTGGGATCGGGTTTTGTAACGTTTTATAGAAATTTTAAGGTCTGTTTGGTTTGCAGGATTATTTTTGAGGGATTTGGATTTAAATAGATTTGGTTTTGTTTGGTTCATAAGATTTTGAATGAAATTGGATTTTATCATCTATAAAATAATTTATAGAAAAAAATTATAAAAAATTATAAAAATAAGTGAATTACATTTTTATTAATCGATTATTATAAAACAAATATTTTTAACATTTTTTAAAATTTTATTGCATACATTCTTACAAAATTCGGTGAAATTTCGAGCATTTCTTAAGGATTTCAAAATCTTATATTTGAAGAATTTCAATTAAATCTAAACATTTCAAATCCGGACAATCCGACAAAACAAACATGATATTGAAATAGATTTGAAATGCAAATTCCTTCAAATCCATTTCATTCTTTCAAACCAAACGGAACCTAAATGTTGTATATAAAAACGATAATTTTTAAGGTCGTTTGAGGTCCGGTTTATAACCAAAATCACAAACTAAACTGCATGCACGATTTGATATTTTCCCAAACCGTAAGAAGTGCATCACAAGATACAATATGGATTATTTCTGAATATAATAGTGTAAAGAAAGCTTACAGTCTACGCTATTTATTTGTACATCAAGGTAAAATACTTTAATTTGTATATGAAAATACAAAAAATGAAGTTGATAATAAATAATCTATATTATATTGTAAAATATTTAACAAAAACTCTTGAAAACCAATTTTTATGCATAAAATATTGTTTATTGATGTATATTACTTAAAATTCAAGATTACAGGTAAATTGTACGTAAGTATAATTCTTTTTAAATTCGTGTAATTAACTGTAGATAAACATGATCAAATACAAGATAAACATCTCATTTAAAATATTAAAAAATTAAAATAAAATTAGAAAAATTATTGAGTTATAATATAATACTTAATTATTATCTTTATAAAAAAAATATATTATTAAACCAATATCAAATTACTTTGTTATTAATCTAAATTAAATTATAATAAATATTTTGAAGTAAATAAATTATACAAAAAAATGAAAACTTTTAAATAGTTGATAATATATTTTTTTCAATTTTTTATGATATCTTCAAATTCATATTTTTATCTAAAAATAAATTTCTCAAAACCACATAAAAACCATATTATATCGACAGAGACAAAAATATAAAACGAAACATTGACAATCGAGATTAAACAAGTACCTTTCTAGTTTTAAAAATAAATACATTACAATAATAAATGATATTTTCAATATTTTTATAAAATTGCAAATTACTTTAGGAATTGGTCACTGCTATTAGGAGATAAGCGAACAGGGGGACTCATGTTCTTGCCTAGCTGTCCCGTTCTCTATCTTGTCCTGTTACGTTCTCTAATTTACCGTCTTCTATTTTCATTGAATGAACGGTGTTTGCTTCTTGGAAGACCATTAATATTAATTAAGATGCAAGGCACATAAAAGAGAGAGACATATCTTAATGTCACTTACATATATAAAAATTATAATTGAGTTGTTAACAATCTCAACCGTAAGGAATTTGCTGGTGGGTTGTATTAATATCCTTGTATTTCTTTGCAAGACCAGAGTCACTGATGTAAACCTGCATGATAGCAGAATGAATATTACAAGGTTATCATGACGAAGGCTCCAAATTGATAACAAAAATGTATGATCAGCATCTGCTACCTGATTTGCACGTTGTTCCAAACCCATATGAAAATAGGCTGGTTTGATATAACTGTGTATAAATAATTTATAAAGAACAAATTCAATAAGGTTGATATGAAAGGAGTATCATGATCTGTCAACATGGATGTGAAGAGCTAAAACAAATGCTTTACAAGTTGGAGGTTTTAAATTTCATAAATTTTAGGAGCTTAACCTTTAATATGCGTTGGATGACATATCAAGCAAGTATAAGGGGTCGTTTGTAAAAACGCTTACTTGGTAAGTGCTTACCAAAAATTTTCTTATTGGATGAATATATTTGTGGAGTCGTTTAAATATGTTAGATTTTAAATTGTTATACAAATTTTTCATCAATAGACTGTAATAGGAACCATAACTCTTATTTATTCAAATCATATTAATATGTAAAGATCAAGTGTAACTTATATCATCGTTAAATCTTCTCTAATAAAATCAATGAAATTTCAAAATGGTTAAAATTCACGACTCCTGCGTAGTTGCAAGGTCCACAACCAGTAACTCGTTATAAAAATCTCGTAACTTATTTTGTATTAATCTGATTGGTGGTTTCCCGCTCAGATATTCGGAGAACTCAACCGCTCAAACCAGCGGCAGTTACCCCCAACATAAATCTCTCCTTCACACCCAAAATTCACACACAAAGTCGCCGAAATGAAACACTGCATACGGGTCGTCATCATCTCTCTTATTGTATCTCATCGTATCGTCAATGGAGGCGTCCAACTCCTCTCCAAATCGAAGCTCGAAAAATGCGAAAAGGTTTCTGATAAGAACGAGGTTCCTCTTAACTGCACCAGAAAAATCCTCATCAACATGGCTGTTCCTAGTGAATCAGTAAGTTGTTCGTGTGTGTGATTCTGTGATGTGTGTGTTTGATGCGGACTAATTCTTATTTTTTGTTTTTGTTTGTTATAGAGCGGCAAAGAAGCATCGATTGTGGCCCAAGTGGTGGAGGTGGAGGAAAATTCGACTGATAACATGAGAACGCTCCGGGTTCCGCCGGTGATTACTGTTAATAAGTCCGCCATCTATGCGCAATATAAGTTGACGTACATTAGAGTATGTATCTCAGAACTTGCTTAGGGTTTTTCCCATTGCATCTGTTCAACAGTCCAAGTTATTCTACCTCATGTGCTAATTACACACACATATTCTTCTTTCACGTGGTGACTTTATGTGGTATGATTATTATCCTTATAGCCATACAGTTCCAACTTCCAAGTATACAAACTCTCCTGTTTATGTAGTTATCTTGTGATTATGCTTTTTTCGGTTACGATTTGTTTTCTCTTATTCCAAGGCTCTCTATTCTATGTATTAGAGCTTGTATCAGGTCTTGCTTTCAATTAATTTAGGTTTTCTGTTTTTGTCATGTTGTTCGAATTTCACTTTTACTTGTATGTTTTCTATGACTGGTATTTTTGTCTTCTTTTTGTGGTGATTATATTAAAATTTTCCTTATGTCAGCATGTTCTCTGATTTTTTGGATAAGATGTTCTGTGATTCTGTTACTTTGTGATTATACTTTGATGGAGACCTTTACAAGGTCTTATGTGTACACACCTCAGGGTATCAGCTTGTTTTGTTCTTCCCCAGCCCCCTCAACGTTTTTAAAATTTTAATCAAATTATTGTTGTTAATAAATTTCTGTAGGTCAAACTGAGATTTTGGCATCTACATAATAGCCACAATTCAAAATAACTTATCCAAATCCATCAATTTCTACTTTGATGCACACTAGCAAAACCATTTCATTAATTCATACCATAATCATTACATTCTGTCTGAACTCTGAAGCAACAACTGATGCGGAGCTCTGTGTATTTTGGAAAGCCCTACCCTTCCCATCATCACCAAAGAGAACCTGTCAAACCCACAACGTTCAGGATCGGTTAAACTGCTGTACTTCAGCTTTTAATTTTAATGGGGATGGGATAAAACATATCTGGCAATTGATAATGTTTCATCTGCTTTATCAACCTTAAATTCTGGATCCCCTTGCCATCCCACTTTGTAGATTTTTGACATTTAAGATTTGAATCTCGTTCTCTTTGCAGGATGTTCCTTATAAACCTAATGAGCTATATGTTAAGACACGCAAGTGTGAGCCCGATGCTGGTGCTAATGTTGTGCAGTTTTGTGAGAGGCAAGTAATACCATGTTTCTAGCAAACAGAAACTTCACTTATTAGTGCATAGCTGGAAAGATACACTCATCTGCAATGGAGATAATATATATATATATATATATATATATATATATATATATATATATATATATATAGGAGGGTTCAAATGAGAAAGACAAAAAAGTTGAGAAGGTGAGAAAGTCAAAAAAATGGATAAAAAAATATAGCAACATGGATGTCAAATTGAACATAATAAAATGCTCGTTTTTGGGTATCATTTGTTTGGTTCCAACCTTTGTAATATTTAACCCATTTCAATAAAAAATAGAGCGTGTGTGTTTTTATTTAAAAAAGGGTGGTTGCAACCATCTTTCTTTAATCTGGTCTGCTGGATTGTCTCATCTGACGGTTGAGATCTTTTCTTACCTTCTCAACTTTTTTGCCTCTCATTTGAATCTCCGCGCGCGTGTGTGTATATATGTACTTGTTAGGAACAAGGTTCAAGTCTACGGGTCTGTTAGGATGCCTCGGCTGCTTTTTTTTTTGGAATTGAGAGAATACCCCAAATGAATTATTGTTGGTAGACATATACATACACACATACATATTTATGTATGTGTGTGTATTCTTAGTAAAGACCATAGAACATATCCTAAGTGATATAGTGTGTTATCTTTTGGCAGTTCAATGCTGTATTTTTCATGTTATAGCTGCAGTGTATGTAATATTGACTGGAACTCTAACCAAGTTAAGGTGTGATCATAGGTTACGAGATGAGGAGGGACACATTATTGAGCGCACTCAGGTAATATTTCAGAGATATTAGCTTTGTTGTAACCTTTTCTTATTTCCAGAACATATATGAGCATCATGTTCATCATACATGATTTTTTTTCCGATGTTGAGATGAGCAAATTAAATCCAAAACTCCAAATACATCATATGTGCATGACTCTTGCATCATCATTAGATTTTGAATGTCATAACAGGTTGCTTCAAGGCCCTTATGCAACCTTCTTTGGTTGATTCCTGTTATGTACTTGACTTTTTCATAGTTGGATGTAATTATAAAATCTATCTGATAGAGCATTAGTAAATACATGCAGCTGACTGTTACACTTGTCTCTTGATGTTAAAGCATGCCTCTTTCTGACCAGTAAATACTTAGAGATGGCGACATAGTTTGCCAACTCAAGACCTTGTTCATTAAGGGTCACCGTACGATTATTCTTTTCCCATTGGCAAACGCAACAAACTGAAAATAACAATGATTACGTATTTCCAAATAAGCATCATTATATGTAGTGGTTGTCTTCCATATGATAGCAATAACTTTCTAGTTATGATTACGTCTTACAGTTGGAGTTAAAGCCTAGAAAGGTGTGAACAGACTGCATATAGTCATATGTGACCTGTCTTGTTCTATTTTCTGGGGCACTTTCACCTTCTCTGCCAAATTCAAATTTGAATGTCACTTAGTTGGGAAATATTTGTAGAAGTAAAATTATAGCCTTTATAACGACAATATGTAAACCCATAACAGCAATCAGTTTGCACTGATCAGCAAATTAAGAACATCTTTTCTATGTGTACACACTTAAGAACCATTTCTCTCCTATTCCTTGAGTACTTTCCATTCTATTTATTTTTGGTGTGTTTGGGAATTTAAATTGATCCACAAAAAAATAAATGAACATGATACTTCATGAGTGTATCTTACTGATAAGATGAATGAGTCCTCATACCTGCTTCACCTTGTAGCTGTCCTGGTTCATGTCTTGACCCATATCCAACTATTGACTAGCATCTGAAAGGTTGACTTTGGTGCATCTGTAAGGTTTCTGGACAGTGGCTTGGGATCACATGATAAACTTATCAAAACGACTGCTTTGCGATACCCTTTTTGACCATCCAATGGTGGCAGCCTTGAGCACTAGACTACCTTTTTGTTAACATCAAATCATCAATCAGTCACCTAAAAGATATTATGCCACTGTGCCAATGTGTGTTATGTATTATATAAATGTGCATTGTTTTAAGCGTTGATTATAATATTTCTTATCTTCACTGACATCATTTCTAATAGAACTTTCATGTTCATTTATTTTTTATTTCTTGAATCCTCGGGATAGCCAGTTTGTTGTCCTTGTGGCAACCAGCGTAGGGTGCCTTCATCGTGTGGAAATTTTTGTAAGTGCTGTCAATGTAGTTGTTTACCTTGCTTTATTACTGTATATTCTCCCTATATGTTGCAGCTTACATATGCCTAATATTGAATCCTATTTTTTATTCAAATCAGTTGATAAGATGGTGAAAGGAAAGGTCAATACAGCACATTGCCTCCGTTTTCCAGGTGATTGGTATGGACTCTGGTATTGTTTCAGCATCTGTTTTTAATTTCTGTTTCTTCTGATATCATGAGTTAGATGTAGAGAATCAGCCCACATAGGAAAGAGTAACCAATGATGTGTTTCAAGCCTTGGTGATGGCATCTAATACTCTACAATTTAATGTTCTTGTTGTGAGCGATTACTGCTGCCTGCTAACTTTGACATGCAATCATATCAAGTACCAAGGAAGCTTGACATTATATGAAAACTTAATGCTCGATTTTTTGAAGTTTCATGACTTCTAAGGCTCCAGAAGATTTAGATGTAGCTTTAAATTCATTGTAATTTGCCCTGATGGGCTTTTCAAAGTGGTTTAGACTTCCTCATGATAACCTGGAGGTCATGATTTCGGATCCCACCCTTGGCAGGTATGGTGGATTACCAGGGGTGCATCAATGGGAGCAGAAAGCGTTTCACCACCTGGGGAGTTGTTTCCCAAGAAGTTCAGCTTTCATATTAGTAGCATACTAACATGTATAGATGCTTATATACTGTGAGGAACAGACAGAGTTCAAATATATGCATATACTCATGCATCAATGTCTTTCTTTTCTTGCATATTTGCTTGTCTTACAGTTTTGCTTAAATTGTTACTAACTGAAACTAGTTTCTGGCGCTTAGGTTCCATGTGTTCGGCATTGGGCAGTACTCAGTTGGGTTCAGTATACGGGTCGAAGTCAAGACAGGATCTAGAATCTCTGTATGTGGTTTCCAACAGCTTTCCACTTAGCATGCAAATTTGTTGTAGCCGCTTGCAAATTTGTTATAACCAGGATGGGATGTTTGAAGCTGCCTGTTGTTTAATTTCAGTAATTTCTTATAGCCGCTTGCAATTTTGCTGCACACCAAATATCAATTTCCATAAAAACATGCAATTCAAGAAGGGTCAATTTCCTATGATATTTAGACACATACAAATCAGCTTGAACCGAAGATGGCATGTTCAACTGAAATTAAACAACTGACAGCTTTAAGCATCCCATTCTGGTTATTACTGTAACTGTGCTGTGTCTCTCACTGATTGAATCATGAAAGGTGGTGAATTTGTCCTTCCGCTTGCTCATTCTTTTGGGTTGTAATGATCTTCTTGAGTCGCCCCAACTACTTTGGATGGATGTAAAGTAGTTTTCCGCAATTCTGCTTTATCATCCAATAAATAATAACTGATTTCATGTTCACTCCACACTACATCTCATAAAGCTGTTTCTGAGCTTTGGTACTGCATGTGTAAAAGGATAAGACAAGATTTCTATCAATTTTTTCTGAGAGCTATACGCTAATACGGTTTTCCCTCCTTGCTTAAATATTATATTATGGTTGTATTCTGTATTTAAGGGTCTGTTTGAAATCAAAAGGGGAAAAAGGGTTTCACCGCCGAATGGGGCAAGAGAGTTTCACGTGCTGACCGAATCAGCACTGATAAGGAGGCCAAATGCATGGCCAGAGGCTCATTAAGAACTTATCAAACAGTGAGTCAGAGACTCTTAGTGAAAATGCTTGTTAAAAGCTTATCAAACATCCCCTAATTCAAGCTTTGTAAAGCATACGCTCGTCGGGTCTCATACCTACAAGCCTATGGATACCAACATTTACTATTTCTCTATCTTAATGCTACTTTATGTTAGCTTAAACATTTAAGTGCCTCCCTGTCTGTGTTAAGTTCCTATTCTCAAATGTGACTATTTTTTACATCATCAGTGGTGTACTAGTAAGACAGTTGTCTAATTATTTTTACTTTTGTTTACAATAACTATAGTCCTTGAAGATGTTAAGCAGTTTATTATTGGTTTAAACAATACTGATGTTTCCATTTGATATATTAGCTGTGAAGACCACTCTTGAATAACCTTCTTTTTTCTTTTTATTTGTTTTGCTTATTTTGGTCGGTTATGCTCTAACAGGAAGTAATCATCAGTCCTGGGAATAGAACCGCCACGTCAACTGATAACTTTTTACGAGTGAATCTCATTGGGGACTATGTTGGATACAGTGACATACCATCTTTTGAAAATTACTTTCTTGTTGTTCCAAGACAGGTTGTTAGATGCAATGTTTCTGTAGCTTATTGATATTAAATTCAGTGTTGTTGGTCATCATATAATATCTTGCAACTGATGAGATTCCCCCTTGTTAGTTAGTTCTCTTGTTTTTTGAACCATTAAATACATTTGACTTTTAAAGCACCAGACTGGTGCAATATCCTTGAGCTTGCAAACATCCTTCTGATTGAAGTTTTAACTAGTAAGCCAGAAACCATTGAACCAGTATAATGTTTTCATGGTAGTCACTTTTCTTGGTTTTTCCATAAACCAAACCCACATCTACACCCAACAGCCAGTCATAAATTCTTTCTAGGAATAATAATGTGACAAATAAAGAGAATGCACTTTGTAAGATGAGAAGTGTATGTTGCATCACTAATTCTCTAAGTACGGCTTCTAGGAAGGACTTGAACTTGATTTGTTATTATGATGATATATCAACTTCAACTATCCTGAGTTATTGGTTGATAATGTACTTTCTGTTTCCTTTTTTTTGTTTTTCTATCCAACATTAAGGCAAACACAAATGAAAGAATGCTTGAAACAGATAATATGTATGTGTGTGTATATATATATATATATTATATCATGGTGAAATAGTGTTCACTTTGACTGTTTAACATTCTTACTTTATAGGTCCCATCTACGTGTGGTGGAAGTAAAGATGTGATTTGGATCTCATATATTTGATGTGAGGATAAATGAATATGAAACCCACAAATGGAGAATGTAGCAGAATTATATAAACCAATGGAACCTTAAGCAAAATTATATAAAGAAATGGAACCTTAGATATTTGGGCTACTCGATTTTCTCGGAAGTGTTCCCATCATATGCTTGAAGTGAAGGACAATAGATACATGGATCATACTAGAAATTTGTAAGTCAGTTGCCGTTGAATTGAGATTCTGGCACAATTTTTCAAACAAGATGTAATGGAACGCGAATCACTCTCTATTCTGAAGGTTTGTGGGTAAAGTTTTAACTCACATTCATTTAGTATTATTTATTAGCCTTACTGCATATATATTAAAAACAAAACGAATGATTGTAACCTCAGTATACATCTTGTGCCTTACATTTCTTTAATTATTGATGAAGGGTAACAAAGGTGAACCACAAGATTTGGGAAGGAACTTTTCTATGTGGATGCTTCTTGAGCGAGTCAGGTTCACATTAGATGGCCTTGAATGTAACAAAATTGGTGTCAGCTATGAAGCTTTTAATGGGCAGCCAAATTTCTGTACTGCTCCATTTTGGAGTTGTCTGCATAATCAGTTGTGGAATTTCTGGGATGTGAGTAAATCCATCTAAATTCACCACAAATTATGATTAGCTTATCTACCTATTGATTAAAGTTGTTTTTAGATCACAAATTGTAGTTGATAGTTATTTGTCCATATCAGCATTAGATTAGATTCTTTTGATAAGCATGCCAGCTCGAGAAACCAAATTGGCCACTTAATCATTCTATTGAAGAACTGTAGCTTCAAATTTCAATATTGATGAAAAAGTAAAGTGATCTGAGTAGCTATTAGTCAACCAGGTTCCTGTTTATGCTTTAACCAACTATGCTACCTTAGCATTTGGGATCCTCGAGAGTGCTAAGTCAGCCTGAAATGCTTGAGAATGGGATTGGAAGGAAGAACGAAAGTAAGAACTTCTAATGATTTGGTAGAGAATGTTAGTAAGATGTTTCCTTTGAAACTCTATTTGATCGATTACAAATGTGGGATGCTCCACCTATAGGGGTCTCCACCTCTAAGAAGTACTATTGAGTGAACCCATATATTGATATAACAAGGTGAAAGCATGTTCCTAGTCTAGAAAAGAGGGAGTGCCATCTGGATTTGGTAATTCTATTTTCCTCTCCCTCTCAATATCGGTTCCCCCTAAATTCATATAGTAATTATGATTGTTAACTAATAATCTCAGTTTTCCACCGTGCATTTTTTCTAATCTTTCTTACTTTGAACATGCTCTAAAGTGTTCTATTACTAATTTTTTTACAGGCAGACCAAAATAGAATCAGACAAAAGCAGGTTCCTCTTTATGATGTACAAGGGAGATTTGAAAGGATAAATGAGCACCCAGTATGGTTTTGATGATTTTAGATTTCCATAAAATACCATTACCTCCTCTCTCTATCGCCCGTCTAATTTTGCATCATTGACAACTGTATACAGAATGCAGGAAGTCAATCATTCTCAATTGGAATCACTGAAGTTCTTAATTCAAACCTTTTGATAGAACTGAGTGCTGATGACGTAGAGTATGTGTATCAAAGGTTGATACTACCTTACCATGATTTTTGATAGAAATGAGTGCTCAGGATTCTAATGATCTCTTTGCTGATTGGCCACTTATTATCTTAATTTATATATTCATGTGCATCAATCTGTGATTTTGTAGGCAGATTAAGATGATAATGTTGGAGCCTTTGGCTGTATAAGGCCTTTCATGTGGTTATATATGAGAGAGAGAGATAACAAGTGCAGTCAACATCTTAATACAACCGTTCAGAGAGATTATAGTGTATGCCTAGGAAACGATAAATAGAAATACAAGGTGACACAACAGATTCTTGTGTGCTAATTTTTTGTTTATCCACCCTCTCACTAAGACTAACTCCTTGGCTAAGATTAATCCTCCCCTACCTACTGTCTTGCCGTCCTGAGGAATTTTGCATCCACAAAATTCTAATGTGAAATAATGATAAAAAATACACTTTTACTCATGACACAAGGCACAAATCATTTGTGGTATTGGTAATGACTTTCATTCATGGCTGATGATTAATTATGGATTTTAGCGCTCTTAATGGTGTCTTGGAAATATTCCATACCCTGTAAAATGTCTAGTGTAAAGCTGCAGAGCTTGATGCTACTTGAAGAACTACAACTTTCGAAATGGATGCATCTTGCAATTCTTAGTCTTCATTTCTTTGTTACAATGTTGATTATGTTTCAGCTGTATATTTTGTTGAATTCCTTTACCTTTAAACCTTCTTGTCTTTTTTATGATTCTTATTGATATGCATAACTTTACATCATTTATTGAAACAAGAAATATAAGTTGTCTGTCTCGCACTATATATATATATATATATATATACATCTTGATAAAACAAAATTATAATAACCTTTTCCCTTCTGCAAGGCTACTCTGGAAGATTTTGAAATCTAGAAGTAGAAATCTAACAATTGTAAGGTGTATCAATTAGCTTAATTCATTGTTTCTAGACATATACATAGTTTTAGGGTTGACCGTGTTAAATGCATATGGGCACCAGAACCTTTCATTATAAAATCTAAGTCGTGGAAAGTTAACTAATTTGTTTCCTCGTATTGTAGGAGTCTTGGAAAGATTGAAAGTATCACAGCCCCAACTTTTGAAGCTCTTACTCAGTTCGGGACTGCCACGATCACAGCTAGAAATATCGGTCAAGTGGAAGCATCATACAGCTTGACGGTAGTTTGATAACTTGTCATACTTATTATTCTAATGTTTGTACGTAGATGGAGCTGAGCCATTCTTTTTGTAATGTAAGTTTTTGTGTAGATTCATTGTGTATTGCTAACCAAGGTTTGCTGTAGTATATAATATTTAATTACTTTCAGTATTTACCTTTCCTACCTACTTATACTCTTCCACATTTCTATTAATCTTAATTGTTTGTACTTGACCATTTATGAAAAATAGGCATTGAAGTGCTGGCATTGCTATACCACTGTCATAAATTCAGCCCTTTTATCCACTCGATCAGATGTCAAATTGTAATTCTTCAATTTAGTGAGAATCCTTGAATACCGAAACAAATTTGAGTGCTACTACTTGTGAATGAATTCAAGAACATGATTGCGATAACTAATGTAACTCAATTATTAATGTAATTATGATAGAGTTCTCTTTTTAATGTAACTGATAATGTGTTTGACAACTGTTGTCTTCTCTTGATACTAAGAAGTGTACTATGTTCTTGATATTAAAGCATATTCCTCTTAATAGTGAATGATTATGTCCTGATCACTTGGTTCAAAATATATTTAAGGACTTTTGGATTATTCCTTGCCCTCTCAGTGCCAATTTTAAGCAGGTATGAAAGATGAAACCTGTAAGACCTATCAAATACCAACATAAAGAAGTAGTGTATAGAAGGACTAAGAAACTTATTCTCCATCATTTGGATAAGATGTAATAGGAATTGTGCAAATTATGTATGAATTAAAAAATTAACCTTTGCTATTATAACTGTTAAGCTATGCCATGAGCTTCTAACAACTGTGTGTTCTATTTATTCTAGAAAATTATATGCACCATTTTGCTCAACCTTTTTTCTTTATATCGTTGCAGTTTGACTGCTCGGTAGGTGTGAGCAAGATGGAGGTATGCATTTTGTTGAACAATTTATCATAGGTTAAAGTACCGTACATCAATATGAAATCTTTGGTGAGGGAGAATAGTGAATATTTTGAATGTTCTCTTATGTAGGAACAATTTTTCATTATGAAGCCTAAAGAAGCTGCAACCAGAACTTTTAAGTTGTACCCAACGACTGATCAAGCTGTGAAGTATGTATGTGCAGGTAGAGGATAATGTTTGTGAACATACTATGATAATAGTTCTCTTAGAATATTGCGCTTTTTGAATATTTAATTGGATATATTGTGCTTGAAACACATCTTATTGCAGCTATATTGAAGGATTCTGATTTTCATGAAGTTGATAGAGCAGAGTGCCAGTTCACAACCACAGCTACAGTTCTTGACAACGGATCACAGGTATGGCAAATAATCGACTATATCTTGGATGCAGAGAAACAAATATCAGGGGATGGTTGTAATCACTTGAAGTCTTGCTTCAGATTTAGTTTGTTAATGTCTTAACTATAACATGCTTAATAGAAGGTCTCTGCAGATTCGTGCTTTAGTTGATTGGTCCTAGCACTTAGATCCCGTGGTTCAGCTAGAAGCTTATTTATGCTACTTCTCTATTATGATGTATTTGTGTATCTACGTGGAGTGCTCTTATGGCTCTTCCGATTTAGATATATGGCGTTGTGATCCTGGAAGGTTCTTGTCAATATAAGGATCTGTAGAGTTATGTATATTGGATTGTTTCCGCCCTTCCTACTCACTGTTAATTTCTTTCGAAGCTCTTAGAAAAGTTTCTATGATTCAAGAGATGATAAAAGATGTAACTTTCCTTCTGAAAACAGTGAAGGTAAAAGATGAAGAATCCTTTATTGTACTCCCAAAAACTAAAATTTTGGTGTTAGAAACTGAATGCTCTACCTTCTGATTTTCTGCACCATTAATGCGTCATAAGTTTACTTGTGAAATCTAAATCATCCATGATGCTAGTATTCTTTTAAGAATGCTGAGGTATGCTTGATGCCAAGTTAATATGGCATACTCTTTTCTTTTTGTTACTTAATGAAAATTCTTTCAAATAAATGCCGGGAAGTTATTAATATGTATTATTACCATGAAAGGTTTTGTTTGGCACTATTTAGTTAACTCTTGAAACTTTATTTTCTTACAGATTCCATTTGAACCACCAAAGAATGGTATTAAAGGTTTTTTTGAATCTATTGGAGAATTGTGGCACAATCTTTGGGAGAATATGATCGACTTTATCACTGGGAAAACTTGCAGGTTATGTGCTGTTCTACCAATTGAGCATTTACTTCAATATATCTCTCTAGACTCCACATCAAAATAAATGTTGTTTAGAGTTCGTTTTACGAAGCTAATTTAAACTTCATAAAGTCTCCTCATAGGCTCATCAACAAACTTCTTGGAGATCAAGATTTAGCTCTCTAGTTCTTATATTACTTCCATGTCTTCTTATGAGGAAATGGGTTTGAACGATCTTGGTTTATGCTTTTTTAATAGAAAAACCATTTATTATGTTGTGCCTATCATTTTGCATATGTGATATCCAACTCTTTGTTATGATGATATCTGGATCATTCTTATACGGTTCCTTGATTCCACATGAATAAATTTGAGTTTGCGATTCCTCTGGTCTTTAAAGTAGGAAGTTAAAAAAATAATAGCACAGTTCAGTTTGCTTATGGTGTATCCGAGTGTCGCTTTGTGATTCATGCTTGATGGATCGGTTGTACAATGTTCTCATGTACAATAGAGGATCTGCTAGTTTTATTTATGGCAAAACAGGTGTAATACAATTTACAACCCATTGATCTACATGACTTATTTACAATGTTTTAAGACAACTCTTGGATTTAGCTTTAGCATCTGAGTGCCAATTCACCCAAACCTACAAGGGGGAGAGGGCGAATTTTTTGGTCAAAATTTTTTTTTGGGGGGGGGGGGTGTGGGAACGCCATCCTCTGGAGTGCTCCCACCACTCCAGTCCCACAGTCATCATGGTGGAGGTAAATCAAATGTTCTATTTACTACAATAACAAAACATAAGACAAACCTTTTTAACATTTTCTAAATGAGCTTTCTAGTGTGAATTTACTTCATGTGGATTGTTTGCACGTATCACTAACATCTCTGTACAATTTTTTTTAATTCTTAATTCATTCACTTGATGCCTTTTCCTTTTACTTGTGCTCTCAGAATGAAATGCTCTGGGCTTTTTGACTTCCATTGCCATATACAATATCTCTGTATGAGATGGGTGTTGATGTTTGGTCTGCTTTTGGCAATCGTCCCCACAGGTCAGTAGGACTTTCGACTTTATCGGGAGAATCAATAAGTAAATCTGTTTGTCACCACCATAATAACCATCAACAGACCCTCTTTTTCCAATTTTCAGAGAGGGCGAGAGAGTGTGTGTGACAGGTAAGAGATTGTGTGTTAACACACATGTTCTACAAAAAGAAGTTTTTTGGTGAATTTGCTAGTGATTTTGGTTGTTGATAAAGATTTCTTTCTTGACAGTTTTATTTTTATTTTTGAGTTGCAGTGATTGTCCTGTTCTGGCTTTTACATGACAATGGACTTTTTGATCCTTACTATGACTCATGGGAAGATCAATTTTGGGATGATGAGCGAAAAGTCCGACACATTAGACACCATCGTTATGATGACTTCTTGGAAGTCCATTCTAGGAAACATCATAGGGGCAGTGCTCATAAAAGGCGAAGAAGTGTACATCAGGAACATAGGCAGAATCATCTTAGCCGGGATAACGACTATCATCATCATCATCCTCATCATCCTCATCATCATCACCACCACCACCATGTTAAGAAAGAAAAGCACAAACATGGTCAAATTAAGGGCTCGGATATCATGCAACCACTATATGTTGACAAAGAGGAAGATGATTTCATTAGTAATCGAAGACATAAAAAAGAAAGAGATATTATGGAAGAACTAAACAAATCTTCTGGACATGATGATGAGATCCTGAAGGAGCATCACAGGCACAAACATGTTCTAAGAGATGACAGACCCCATAAGCATCAGCAATCTAAGAGAAGGAATCAGAGGAATCAGATATCATGAATTCTTGTTTTAATCAATTAACATGTCGACTCCTGCTTCATTGTTATGTTTTATTTTCATTAGAGTCTTTTCGGTTGGGAACAAGTGTGTCGCTGATTCTTTCTGCCTCCGAACAACTCGAGTAAAAAATCTGTATTTGGAAAGTGTGTCATATATAACCTTGTACATTTCTCATTTCTTCTTTCTGTAAACTTATACATTTTCTAATATCAAAGCACTTGAAAAGCATTGAGCTTTACATGATCCTGAGTAAAATTATCCTCAGCTTGATTACTGTTCCAAGAACTTGGCAATTGTCTTGCCAACTTTTCTACGCAACAGGAGCCTATTGTCTGCTGTCAGCTTTTCTGCAACTTCAAGATACAAATCCTGTTTGGAAGTGTCTAATTTGTTGGTATTGTGGAGCTAGACATATCAATAATTCTCTCTTCGTTTGTCGGATTAGTATCAGATTCTGATGTTGGACCTTGATTCTGTTTATCTTTCACAGTGACCTCAACATGGAAGCCATTTGGGAACTGTAAGCCAGGTGTACGTAGAATTTCGCCTCCTCTGACTGTTCGCCACCTGACAATTTAGAGGAAAATCATGTTAGTATCTCTCTCTCTCTCACACAGACACTCAAACATACATAGTGACATACATTTGAATTTTTACCTGTATTTGGTAACTAAACAGTGGAGAAAGACGGCCATCTGCACTTTAGTGAAGTCAGTTCCAACGCAAAACCTCATACCACCTCCAAAAGCCATAAAATTCTTCGATGCACCTTTCTGATCCATCCTCTGTTTGGCACGATTGAAGAGTAAGTCAGAGGTTTATTAGATTTTATTTTATCTATTTGACTGAAAAGCATGCACTAATAGTATACCTCCCATCTCCATGGATTGAATTCTAGCGGATCTTTATAGTTGGCGGGGTTTAAGTGGACGGCTGGGGGACATACCATTACTGCCCAACCAGCTGGAATCGTGTAGTCTGCATCCAGCCAGCGTCCATATCAATGTACGTTTATAAACTTTACTATTTGTTGCAGTTAATAAGACTGTAATAGAAATGCATATCTACCTTTAAACTTGATGTCCTTTAGTGCTTTTCTGAATACTCCTGGAACTATGTTAGCCAGCCGAACTGTTTCATTTATAAGCTGCAACATCATGTAGTTGGCATCAATGAGGGACTGATTTTTGGAATTCTGTCAAGCAGTTTACGTACTACCTGTGAAATTTAAGAGTATTCAACACACCTGAAACGTGAATGTCATCGATTTGTATTCTTTCCATGTAAGTCCAGTCTCCTTATTTTCCCTGTTTCTTAGGATATTCTCATGCTCTTCCTGAGTGCAGTAGCAAGAGCAGGTAAATGGGTTGAAAAATATTAGGGAGAAACAAATCATCTTTCTTTTTGAATTACATCCTCTTCACTAACCGTTAATGCCTGCAATACCCGAGGATTGTCACCCAGAAGCCTGATTGCTACTGTTATAGCCAGGGAAGTTGTTTCAAAGCTTGCAAACAATAGTACAAACATCAAGTCCAGGGCAATTGCTTCTGTAAGAATTGAATCACCTCGGTCGAGTTCTTCTAGTACGTAATCAAAGAAATCACTTTTGACCTTCCTAGGCTTAGCTCTTCTTTCTTCTAGCATGTTCTTGAGCATCGCCATCGCCTTCTTTCTTCCCTGGTTAAGTTGAAGATAATGAAAATAGAAATCAGGATTACCCTTGTTGAGAAATCAGAATTCTTCTTTAATTGAACAAATTATGCATGTTGATTCTAATCATTTCTGTACCTGTAGACACTTGTGGTAAGCTGTCCCAGGAATGTTCAAAGGGAAGGAGATTAATCCCTGTATAAAAGCCACAAAGTTCTCCCTCAGATTCTCCGATGACTTCTCTGGATCGTAACTTATCAACTTTTTTGCAGTTAGATCAAATATCATCTGTAAAACAGGCAAGGTCGATTAGAAACTTGGGATTTCTGGGCAAGTGTTCATTAACCAAAACCGTTGTCCTTTTACTTACATTTGCTGTTGCTTCCTTCAATTCCACCGACTCCTGGCCAGCCCATTTCTCCAAGTTTCTTGTTGCCACATCTTCTACTTCATGAAGCATTTTTTTAAGGCTTTCGGGACCAAATAGATATAGCACCATGTTCTTAAGATACTTATACATGTAACCATGCAAAGATCCTACATTCTGTCTCCCAAATACCTCTGTGAAGCTATCTGGGTACCAGCTTTCAAATAACTGGCCCTCTTGTTGGAAGATCATATAATTAAGATCCGAATTGGTTGAGACTATAACCGGTCGCCCAACCAAACTGGTTCGGAATATTGAGCCATATCTGAAATGCAATGGTTAGTATAAGAATTCAATCATGAGGATGTAGATGGTGATATTTTACATAAAATAATGTAAAAATGATTTGGTAATTAATTGGTTTCACCTTTTCATCCTCTCTTTGACAAAGGGAGGGGTGTCCCAAGTTCGATTAGGGGCGAAAAACTGAATAGTTTCACCTAGTAACGGCCAACCCATTGAACCAGGGGGAAGATCTCCATTGCATTTAGGATTCCTCCATCTGTACAACCAGTGTGTAATGGTGACCACAACCATAGCTGCAATGCAGAGACTAACAGGCCACATACTTGATTGTTAAGAAATTAAGAAAAGCAATGGCAACCAGAGAAGGAAATGAGAGACTTAAGGAGGCAGAATCGGAAAGATGGTGATGAAAGAGAGAGTGTGAATGTGTGTGAGAGAAGCAAATGCTGGAATGTATTTGAGTATCCACGAGGAGAAGTATTTATATAGACAATGCCAGAACAGAAGTTGAAACTATTTAGATATTATTATAATGTTGGCTCACTTCGCTTTTGGTATAGTTAGTTGCTCAGAAAGCTGTACAAGTGGTTGGTGATAAGTAAAGAAATTATGCTGATAATTTTGTCTTCAGACCATCCAATTTTTTGTCAATTTAAAATTAGAGCTTAAGCTTTGCATTCAATTAATATGAGGTTTACATGATGTTTCCTCTCTCTCTCTCTCTCTCTCTCTCTCTCTCCTCTTTGTGTTTAAAAACTTGGCATTCGCCCAGACTAAAAATATTGATTTAGAAAACCCATATCCATAATGTTTTTCTTATGTATATATTTTAATATATATGTATATATATATATATATATATATATATATAGGTCAGGCTAAACTGAGCAACACCCTGGTAATCATTCATTTAAATGGTATGCACATGTGCATACAAATAATTCATAACTAATTTGTTTGGTATGCACACATGCATAAAAACCAAAAACAGCTTCTACTACTTGTATGTGCATTTACCATCTAGATGAATGATTACTAGATGTTTCTCAGTTTTTCATTTTTGTTATGGGTTTTCCATAACCCCCCCCTCTCTGTATATATGTATATTTCTTAGTTTATTTAGTTTGTGTTGTGGTTTAACACTTAAATTTCATGTTTTGGATACTATGGTTGCATTTGGTACAATTAGCCGATAAACTAGTTGTTAAAACGTTAAGGAACTTGTTAGGAAAAAAACTAGCTTATGGTGTATCAAACATGACTTTTTTCTCCGGGCTATCTGCAAAGCAGGTGGTCGCCCTGGGATTAGTCGGCTCGCATAGCGGGTTGGATATCCAGGTTAATCAAAAAAAAAAAAAACATAACTTTTTGTATAAGCTCAGTACCGCAGTTAGCTTATGGCATGCCAAACATGCCCTATATAAATGTTTTTTTTAATTCTCACTTTTTTGAAATCTTGCGGTAAATATCTGTTTGTAATTGAACAACCCTCTTGTAAAACTTTTCGAAATCATTATACGTAATAAGTATTTAGCTAAAACCGTATGTGATTGTCATAAACATGTGCGTTTGCTTATGCTTCAATGCTTTGAGTTTTTGAACATTGTTTTCTCTCTCTTCCCCTTCCCGTATACGTGTGGTATTGCATCAGCCTTGAGTTGTGTGACAGAAAAAGAACATATAAGTTTTCTTTCCTAGATTCTAGAAGAGAGAGAGAGAGAGAGAGAGAGAGAGAGAGATAGAATCTGTTTGACTATTCCAAGTATGAAACCAATCATCAAGAAGATCATTAAAAATACTAGAATTCCAGATGTGTTTTATAGTTTTAACTAAATGCATAAATCTTCCCCAGTATCTCTGCTAAATACTCTGCTAATTATATGGCATTAAGACGATGAATATGTTGTTTATGTCACTTGTTTGTTTTTTCATATATGGATGTCATCCTAGATTTTCATTAGCTGTACCGATTATCTCTATCCATTTTCGGAATCTTAATTGCATCACCATTGATTTCGAATAGACGGCTCTAGATTTGAACACAACCACTGTAGATTCTTGTGTACCTAACTGATCTTTGTTCTAATATATTTTAGCAAGACTTCAGAACATCATATCCAAGTGAATAAATTTTTTGTTGAGTGTTTATTTAAGTTTGTAGGACCCTTGATAATATTAAAAAAAAAACAAGATTCGAAATCAGAACTTGTAGATTATCTTAAGTCATTCTCCATCACTTTGTCGTATTTGACTTTCTCTCTTTATCACAATTTTCATAAGAGGTCTTCATGGAAATAGTCACCTTGATAGAAGCCAGGTTTGCGTACCCCCACCTCTAGGTGAGATATACTAGGTTTGTTTGGTTTGGTCTAATCTCAATCACTTTATTATATTTGACTTTCTCTGTCTGTCACACTTTTCACAAGTCAGAGGTTTTCATGGAAACAGTTGCCCTAGTCGGTGGGGGTCTAGGCTAGATTTATGTACCCTACCTCTGGGTAGGATATACTAGGTTTGTTTGGTTTTGGTCTAATATCGATCACTTTATCATATTTGACTTTCTCTATCGTCACACTTTTCACAAGTTTGAGATTTTCATGAAAACAGTCGCCCTAGTCATAGGGGTATAGACCAGATTTACGTACCTCACCTACAGGTGGAATATACAAGGTTGGTTTGGTTTAACATTGATCATTTTATCATATTTGACATGCTCTATTTGTCACACTTTTCACAAGTCAGAGGTCTTCATGGAAATAGATGTCCTAATCTTACGAGTAGAAGCCAGATTTACATACCCCACCTCTAGATAGCATATCCTAGGTTCATTTGGTTTGGTTTAATCTCGATCCCTTGGGCAAACCCATCTGGGCTATTTGTTGTAGGATGTTATTAACTTGAAATTGGTCAAGTTCAACTCAATTTTCACATAGAGCACCACCCAGATTGCTCTTTGAGCCACGAGTCTTTTTACTAGGTAGGTTCCTGTACATTACTTGACCAGCCAATATAAATCACTGTGTGTGCATGTGCGAAATGCATGTGTGGGTGGGTGTAAGAGACAGAGAGATCACAATGAGTATATAGTATAAAAGCACCATGTGACTGAGAATTAGAAGAATGGAATATACAAAAATTGATGAGGTTTTAAAACAAGAGCATGGGTATTTGTAATCATTGTCTGCTCCTTTAAGTTTTTACATGTCTTGTAGTCAAAGTGAGCTCTAAACTCCAGAAAGTTTCCTTTTGACTTGGAACCAATTATTACTATTTGTTAAAGGATTTTAATTTAATTTACTCATATTTAATTATATTTTGCTTTGAGATATAGTAAAGCACTTATTTAAAACTGAAGTTTCCAGGTTCATGTCATTCTTGATGATTTCCCTTTTTGTGGTAACCTGTGAATGTGATCAAAGGCCAATTAGTCTTTGATACTGTATTAGCTGTCCAGGATTTAAAGTTACTGTGATATCTAAAAAGACATTTCTTTTCCTTTCTAGCCTGCTATATGGCCCCAACTAGATTTTGGGGTTAGGCTGTCCAAATTGCATTGTATCACCACAATCAGTTTCTGCATTTTGCGGTATTCGAACGCTTGGATAGCTAAAACTATGATTGGCTGATGATTTTAGGGATCGTTACTAAACATTTTATCCGGTAAGTGCTTACTGCGTCACTTTATCTTACGGGATGAACATGAAATGATTAAGAATCTTACCCGGTAAGAATAATGACAAGAACCGAGAGTCTTACCGGTAAGTGAGAGTGACGACTCTTACCCGGTAAGCGTTTACTGAAATGTTGCATACGATGTTGTTTTGATGGACTAAAATATTACCTGGTAAGTTGAGTGAAAGTGTTGACAACGACTAAGCGCTTACCGGGTAAGCGTTGGCTAAACGGCCCCTTAGTATTATTAAGAGTTTTGGTGTAGTTGTGCTTTACATTAGATCGACTAGCTGATAAGACAAGTGTAACGTGAGTACGGAGATATGGAGTGCACACTCACAATTTATTACCTTAGATCGTCATCACGCAAGGGTCAAGGGAAAGGGGGCTGTGCCCCCTTGTGGGGTCCAAGGGGCAGCGCCCCTGGTGGAGGTCCCCCTAAGTGTATTTCAGAAGGCAAGAAGTCTGCTTTGGTTTAGAACGTCTGCGAAGCCTAACTAGAAGGTTCTGAGTTCTTGTTCAGAATCTTATGATTCTAAATATCCCCAGCCAATTACCTCGAAACTCGTGCAGTTATAAAAAACTGTCTAACCAACCCATTACTCTCGATATTTCGTATAAATATGTAAAAAGTTGAATCTGATATAGCGTGATCGTTGGATCATTTCAATACTCAATTCGTGATACCCAAGGCATAGGCTCGAATATGTATTTGGAAAACCAAACTCTAGCACAAAAAAAAAAAAACAGCAGATTTTTGGGGCTAGACACAAAAAATTGCTTCATCTCCAACCACATGCCGTATCTGCCTTTTGAACAAGAAGACAACGTTGTATGTGGTTTCTCTCCCCTCCGGCATTCTCTTTTGGCTGTCGGCCGAGTGTCCAAACCGGTAAAAGGGTGTTGTGGCGTATGATTGGAGATGTCCCTTTTATGGTTTGTTTATATTCTCATTTATATAGTTAGATCCAGATTTGGAGGTGCTTGCAGGAGCCGTTTACAAAAACGCTTACAGGTCAAGTATTTACCGGCAATAATCACCACCCTCACTTATCTTACCCGATAACATTCATTACCATCAAACTGGATTGTTGATAAGCATCTTATGCGGTAAGTACTTACCAGGTAAGATAATCGGTTCTTGCTATTCCCCTTACTGGGTAACTGGATAAGATATTCAGTTCTTATCATGCTCACTCAATAAAGTAACACCTGGTAAACGATTGCATGGTAAGTATATGGTAAATGGCCCGTATTAATAGACTAAGCATGTAGGAAGGTTATGTTAGGTTAGATTAGATTAGCTGGGGAAAATACAGGAACGGGAAGAATGTAAAGCATGAAAAAGGATCAAGTGTGACAACTCAACAACTTTCAGAGAGTTAATTAGATTAATGCATATTACAGCAAAAAAGAAGGGTATGAAGTTTGAGTGCATTGGACTGAATAAAGGTATTGGTGTGTCTGATGGAAGGCTGCATTAGAGGTCCTACCTGTCTGTCTTGCACAGATCTGAATAGAAAAAAGGGTCTTAAAAAGAGTTTGTTTGATGGCATGCCCCTTGGCCCTCTCCAACCCTAAAAATGGAACTTATTGGTCTATTTGGGACTTTTAGTCCCCTATTTAGGGTACCATCACTAGCTGCCTGCTTGCTGCATTGACCAAAGTTTTGCATCAAATCATCTTTTATTTGGATTTTTACTCATGTTTTCTTGGGTCAACTACTAC